TCACAAACTGATTGAGCAAATCCCGGTGTTGTTCCCCGAGTAATTTATGGACGCTCCTAAAGAGGAAAATGTTTTTTCGATCAATAAACCACTTTACGCGGACAACCATAGAATGCGCATATCCGCCGTCTGGAAGGAGAAAAAATATTCACACCTTTCGGCAAAACGATGGTTGTCATAACTTTCGAACGGATTCTCCCACAAACCTTTGCGTAACGAAACAGGATGAGAAATAGAGACTGAAGGGTAAGTGGAGACCGGTGTGAGACTAACATTTGAATATCAAGCTGAAAACAAAAAACTTGGCCTTATCCGATCAATAACAGACGGTCTGTCAGCAGAAGTGTTTCAGTTACGGAGATGATAAAGAGGAATTGGAATAAGATAGGCACATAGGTACGATTCTGTATAGGCCGTCTTAGGTTGCACCCTATTGTGTCCTTTGTACACCGTAAATCTTACGACCCTCATCAGTCGAAATCAGTGCAATAGTGGGTTTATAGCTATTGTGTTTCACTGAATAATGCGATGATCATATCCCTGACCACAGGGTTGAAACGATTGATGCGCAAGGTGAAATGAAATCGTGAAACGCGAAGGAAGAAAGCACGACGATTTCACTTTCTACTTCACTTTTTCTTCGTTGTACACCGAATGGAAACTATACACCTCACACACATCTTATGTCTGATATATATTATCGCGGACGACCAACTAAATGATACTGCAGCAACCTCACAGTTGTCATAAAACAGACAAAACACTGGTAAATGGTTTTCAACGAGACAACACCACACGTTCCTGTTTTGAATGGTGAATATGATTCTCACAAAATAACTGCTCCATAGGAATTCCATAATTGTGAGTTGACTCTTCCCAGAGTGTTTTCTATCGGAAAGATTCTTACAAACAAATCGGAATTCTGGTCTTATAAATCAACAGAAACAAAAATCAAATTGAATAATAAAGCTCCTAATTGATCAAAGTAACTCTGGCGGCATCTTTTTTCACTAGTTATGAGCGAACAAATTGATTTGTATCTCAGAGGAGAGAATGACTCAACAAGTCACCGATAACCGGTGTGGTGAAAGAGTTCAAAAAGGGGATAGACAGAAAATATGTGGTAAGGAAGAGCAGGGATGAACAGAAAGAGAGAACGGGAGAAAAACGATGGTGGAGAAAAAGAGGAATCTTTTCCCCTCGTTGATTTTCCTTTCAGTGAATTATAGAAATCAACCACTGTCCAACGTGATTCAAGCACAGTTTATTCATAAATTAATCTTGTTGTGTAACTCCAAGCTTACTTTTGTTTTCGCTTAGTGTTTGTCAGTCAGATAAGTAAACACTTAATCTTATCCTTTGAAACGACGATTGATGAGCAAACCATGTGTGTAATAAAGCAATTTGATTAAACCACTTGCGACACACCCCACAAACCCAAGCTAGAAATAAACGCGCTGTGCTTTTGAAATCAATCTGTTTCCCAAATGTGGACTTAAAACAATTTTAGAGAATATCTTAAGCCTATACCAGACAACGGCAAATTCGGGGAAGCAACTACGAGGCCACAGATCACCCAAGCTTCAGGTATTACATCAACCTTCTACGAAAGCTCCAAAGAAACGTGGAAATAAACTCCGATACTCAGTCTCTCTCTGTTGAGCTCCATTCAATAGAAATCGAATACTATTTCATGTTGCTGAATTCAGTAGATCACGTGCACGCCTGCATTTTTCTCGGATGCAATCAAATATCCTGTATAGAAATGACGATGCAGATGGTGCTGAGAACCCAGTCAATCGTAGGTAATCCGGCTCCGCGAATTGCAACACATTTGAGCAAAAGGTTACACGTGTAACCTGACCTGACAATATTGAATATTATTACGTAATATCAGAAAGCTTTTTGGTTTGCTCCCATTGAATAGAACAAGTGACACAATATGAGATTTTATATTGGCCATCAACTTCGCATGCTCTCAATGAGCTACACACATTGAATAGGTGTCAATTTTAAAAGAAAAGTGTCATACATGGGCATTAACAAAATTACGTTGGTAATGTCTTCTGAATCTTAGTAATCATAACTCCCACTCTTTCAATTACCCCAAAATGACTTTGATAGTGACTGAACAACTGATTTTTTTCCCGCACGCACCAACGTAATTATGTACGCGTCCAGATATATTCTTATAAGATTTCAACTATTTTAAAGTACACAGGCAGCTGACCGAGCGCACGCGACTTGATGACCAATACCAATTCTGTTGATATTGTGTTAAATGTTAATAGCTTTCTGAGCTCTTGGCCTCCAGTGGAAGCTGGTCCATCATGAATCACAAATCCCTCCCTTATGCACACATAAGAAACTGAGACCCAAAGTCGGATGTTAGGAAAATAAAGTTAACTGTCTATCTCTATCCCTATCAGTCTTTGCTGATCCTCCTCACACCTATATTCATAAGCATCCGCAATTTGGTGGTTTACATACAGCTCAAAACATAACATATTCAAAGTGGACAACACTTTCGACAATCTCACGGAAAGAAGTTTCTACTATAATATAGTTATATTTCTGAAGCTGGAAAAATAATCCGGAACCACAAAGCCAGCATCCCACTCAGATCAATCTTATGCTTTCAGAGTTTGCTGTATCACAAGGTGGCACAATGGATGGTCGGTATATTGAATCCGTCGTAAAGTTCTGATACGGCATCGTGGTAAAGACTCTTTAGAACTAACACATTTATTCATTACTTCTAATTTAGCCTCTGGCTTGATACATTTCGTTGATATTGTTTCTACTCCAGATGCGACATTTTAAAAGAGCACACAGAACAAGAGCCTATTTCTCACCATCTAAGGAAGCATTAGCATCCTAGTTGGAAGCGATTTAAACTAGTTTGGGATTGGTCCAAGAAGGCAAATCAATCAATGCAAGAAGAGGAATAAGCAGGGCAACGAATTAGCCAGTCAAATCACAGTAAATAGAAGCAACTAAATAATGGTTATTCAGAGAAATTCACTGATTTACATATCGAACGAAGGCCCACGGTTGATCCCATCTGTGAAGTATTGAAGAAACGCTTCCTTCTCAATCTGACCTCCAAAGGCGACTATTTCATGATCGATGCATGCAACTAAGCTTGGTGCGCACCTAAAGCTCAAGGAAGCGCTATGTTGAACATTTCTCGTCGCACATCTTTGGTTGTTATAGTATACCTAGGGACCTCGTCTGGTCAACCAAAAACAGAGCAAGCTACCGAATTCTGCCTCACGTCGTCCATCAGTCAACTTGCAGTTGCGGTGACAAATACATCAGCGAAAAGAATCACCTGTTGTCACAAAGGATGTACGAAAACATTCCCAAATGGTTAGTACAGTCAATGTAGCAGCACGAAACCAGAGGTCAATGCGACAAGGAAAGCCCAGATAAATCGATCGCGAAATATCTCACAATAACTGAACACTTCGTTGGATCACTTTTGTCGTCCAAGTCGCTGTCAAGAAATATGAATTTAGTGAAGCAATGTAAATCTTGTTACGTAATCCAATATTTTACGTGCTTGAAATTTCGAACACCATCAGATAAATTCCGGTGGAACTGATTCTAAAGATGATTACCCCAACTGTTGTCCGGTGAACCACTGTAGTTATCAAAACATTTTTGTATAACTATCAGACTGCAATAAGTCTTATCGACTGCAGACAGTACACGTTATGTTCACATTCCACAGTAATCGGGTGCCCATTATTCCTTCTGTTGACCACAGCGAATCATTCAAGACTCAAGCATTCAAGACTCCAGATCCATTATCCGATTGAAGCCCCCATCAAACCCATCAGTGAAGTTGCACTCACGCCTCTCTGGGGACCCTGAGGCTGCGCCTTCCGGTCTTGCTGGCGTTGATGTGGCTCTCAGTGAGAGAGCTGAAGCCGCGCTCCTGGACTGGTTCCCAGTCGACAGTAGGTTGTGCGCAGTGAAACTTAGAGATGCGTGCAAAGTAAGCAGCCGTCGCCCGGATAGACGAAACCTGTTTGTTGTGTCGGCGTACGCCCCAACGGACTGCCGCCCAGAAGCAGTCAAAGATGAATCTTATCATAACCTACACGACCTCTTGCGTAAAGAAAGTCGGGCTGATATCGTGATTTAAGCAGGATATATGAATGCTAGAGTAGGTCGACTGACTTCAAGTGAGGCGCATCTGGGAGGTCCTTTCGGATTAGATTCCTATCGCTCGGAAAACGGGGAGCGGCTGTTGGCTCTGTGTTCCGACCATCGCTTATTCCTCGCCGGTACGAACTTCAGGCGCTCCAGCTGCCGGTACGTCACCTGGCGTCCGCCCTTCTTAAGTCAGAGACGGAAGCAGATCGACCACATTGCCGTAAGCCACAAATGGCGGGGTTGCATGCAAGACGGCCGATCGTACTGGAGCACTCCCGTCGAATCCGACCACGCATTAGTTTGCGCCAAGCTGTCCATGTGCTTCGGTAGGCGTTTCAAGCGTACGACACAACGACGGTTAGACTGTCATAAGTTGTCTCAACCAGCACGCCTAACTGTCTTTCAGAACGCGCTAGCTGAAAAGCTAGAATCAACCCCACCCGACAACGTTAACCAGCACTGGTCGCGTATCAAGAATGCTCTGAATTCTGCTTGCTCAGTCAGTTGTGGTCTAACACGTCGTGCCACGATACCTTGGATTTCTGCGAAATCTCTGCGCCTTCTCGACGCACGCCGATCAATTCCGATTGACAGCGAGCATAACCAAATACGACTCGTAACGGGTTGTAACTTCGACGTAAGCTTACGCAGAGACCGCGAGATGTGGTGGACTGAACGCACGTCAGAGGTGGTACGTGCTGAGGCCATGGGAAACTCCCGCAAGCTATTCCATCTCATCCGGGTCACCGGTGGGAAAGCCTTCGGTGTAAGCGAAACGATCTGCAAAGCTGACGGTTCGCCCATTCACAATCAACAGCGACGTCTTACACGCTAGGTGGAGCACATTGAGGCACAGTTTAGCAGGCCACCAGCGTCGGCTGTTCACGCAGCTATTCCGGCACACGTCCCATGGTCTGTTTCAACAGACCCATCTTCCCAGGCGGAAATCCATGAGGAGATCTTATCCTTGGGATGTCACAAAGAGCCGGGCTCCGATGTCCTTGCCCTCTGCTCTATTGAAAGATGGTGGAATGAAGCTTGTAGAATATTTACAATTTCTGTTCTCCGATGTTTGGGACACTGAGCAGTTACCTTCCTCATGGAGGGAATCGATTGTCGTCCCCACCTTCAAAAAGGGCCCGCGCAATGACTGTACCAAGCATAAAGGTATAAGCCTTATCCCAAGAGCGTCAAAACCGTTGGCGTCCGTCATTCTCCGCCGACTGTTCACTAATCGTGAGGAGCAGACTGGGTTTCGCGCTGGTCGTGGGTGCATCGATTAAATCTCCACCCTACGACAGCTGCTAGAGCACCGTCATGCCTATCAGAGATCAACGAACATTGCAATCTTAAACATCCGTGCAGCCTTTGACTTTGTCGATATGACCGCATCATGTTTTACGTTTGTCACACAGACTGGATTCAGACGCGTGCGAAAATATATAATATACTGCTGTCGGTTGGCAGCCGTATCCCTCACTGTTTCCAAACAACCAGTTGCAGAGTCTTTTGGACCACTACCTAGAAGGCGCGAGACATCTACTCTACTTAATCGCTCTGTGCATTTCTTCATGCGTTGTTTCCACGTCATTTGTATGCATATATTGAGGTCTTAGAGATTTAAAATTGAGTTCTCTATGTGTGTATGTTTAGTTGGTTAAGAAGGGTTGGGGAATGCGTCAGACGTATGTATCAAGTGAAACATGTTGATTATCTGTTTGTATTGAATAAATCTCGTTTTCAACGTTCATCCTCAGCAACCTCCTTAATTGAGCATGATGAGTGTTCATAGTTTGTAGTGGCAGATGAAGTAATGTCGAGCAATTTTAGGAACTCATTTGACCAAACGATAAAGAAAAACGTAAGTGTAAACCAACATAATGAGAGAATGTTATCAAAACAAAGATACGCATAATGACAGAATCACTAGTAAGAGGTGGGCGAGTTAATTTTCGGGTACCACGCTGTTTAAAATATTTTTCACAGCACCTTGGTTAATCTGGGCTCATCGTGAAACCCAACACGGTCTGTGTGACACAGTACACTAATCAACGTTTTAACAAGCAATCTCTTTTGCGGATTACGCAGTTATCTCCAATACGTTGTTCAAACACATTGAAACCTCTGGTTTTATATTGTGTTTAACACATCCTCAGCTCAACAAGTAAACATATTTGGAATAATAAGAATATCTAA